AATGTGAAGATATATCGAGGAGAAAGAAAATCAAAAGAAGGAAGGTGGGAAGGAACGGGTGGCAGGACTGACCTTCATCCAACACCAGGTTGTACATTGTTCCCCTTGCGTCCGATTGTGATCGATTTGGTGCATGTGGTGGTGAATTGTGTCCAAAAGCGTCAGTGATACACAGCCCCCTTGTGCTGGTTTGGGTTGGTGCGCAACATAGTTACGTTAACGGGTTACGTGGCTGATGCGTAACTGAAAAAAAAAAATACCCGTTATCCGGGTTTGCTAACGTAACTCGAGAAAGAAATCCGAGTTACAGGGATCTGGCAGCGTAACTCATAACGGGTCCGTTAAGCTATCGGATAACTTAACGGATTGAGCTACGTTATCTCTACGCAGAAGCTACGAGCAGCGCTGCTGACTCACCGTTGTCAGGCCACCCCTGGGGTTTTAGTCATAAGCCCCTCTTCAAGAGAGGAGGTGGCCACATTGAAAGAGGGACTTAGTTAAGCTTGTTTTCAATTGAAATGACTTCTTGCGGACTGGATGTCAACACAGATATATGTGGTATGTAGAAATAAACCAAAAGCAATAAAAACCTGGTAATTGTAAACTTTTGAATCTCTATATGATGATTCTTTGACCTCTGTGCGCACACTGTCCACAGTAGGGGTTGGGCAAAATTTTGACCAACCGGTTTCAAAACACAATTCAGCTGCAGTTCAAAAATTTGGGAATGCTTTTGAGATTACTCAAAAGCAATACCAAAGCCACTCAAAACCAAAAAACATTTTTGTCTGTCTTTTTGCTTAAAAACCCCTGCAAAAATGTTTTTGGGTATCACTGGGACCCCCTAACATTTGGGTCCCAGGGCCAGGCTGTTGTTGTGACTAGCCTGGAGCAACTGTAGACTATATATTCTTGATGTGCAAATACAGGAGCAGGTGTGTACAGATTTATGATGTAATATGATGACATCAGATTTTGGTGGTATGACAGGCAAATGACCTCATATGATATTATGTTGAAGTAATTTTGAAATATTTCTGAAGCGTTCATGAAGCTTTCATGAAGTTTTGGTAGTCTCTGGCCTGCCAGAGCCTATTAGCTGGGGGCTGTGAAAGGGTTTCCACGGGAGGAGGCGGAACACCACCAATGCGGTAGGCCATGTGTCCTGACGCACTATCCAGACCAATTGTGATGCAAGCAATATTAGAAAAATGGTAGATGAAATTGGGGTCTGAAGCCATGAAAACATGAGGGACAACAGTACGGAAATAGCACATGGAAATACTCTTGCTACCCCCAATCCTATTGTATTTGAGAAGTATTTCATCAATCTTTTCAAAGTGAGCAGTGTTATTGTTGATGGCATTGCTCATGATTTGAAAGTATCACTATTGTTTTTACCTCAAGAACAACAAATTATGGCTAACATGATAAAGGACACAAGATTTTTGTTGTTGATAAAGTTGTGGATGGATACAAGTCAAGTAAAGAAGGCAATCTGAAGTGGGCCAAATGATTTATGAAAATTGTGAAGATGATATAATAGGTTTACAATCAAAAGCTTGAATACTGTTACACTGAGCTCTTTACCATTTGGAAACACAAATCTTTGAAGATTAAAAAATAAAATATGATCCTTTGTTTCTGGATTTCACAACTCCCTACGCCATTGCATTTTGCCCTTGGTTAAAACACTTCCCAACCACATTCAATCCATTTGTTACATAATCAAAGTTTTGAATTGGATCTGAGTGAAAAGCCCACAGAAGATTGATTGGGCTTCTCAGTTTTCTTTGACTAAAAGGGGGTCTGTCAGTGCCTTAACTCAAATTGCTAGAAGGAAAAATACAAAGAGCTTCAGGTTGTTTGGCTAAGATATACAGTATATCTTTGTAAAATATATCTTTCTTACTAGGCTATTACCATCCTTGGGAAAATTTGTCAACAACACTCTGAAAGAATCAATGTTTTTAAGTCAGGATCATGTCATGGAGTGGATTTGAAACCTTCAAATATAGGTGAAAGAGCTGGTATGCTTGTTCTCTTAGATGAAATTTGAATCAAAGCCAAATTCTCAGGCCAGATTCAAAGCTGCTATAGATCAATTTGACAAGACAAATGTGTTTAGCACATCTGCTGCAAATACTCTGACCAAAAATGAAGAACTAGACCAGTACCTCTTGGGCATGCATCCTTGCAAGTGTGAAACTGATATATTACAATGGCTGTGTACATAATTAATTCTCCTTGATATCACAGGAAACAAGAGATGGTTTTTTCCTGGGGAAAAACCATCATATTTGACACAGTTTTCTGCATTATTTCTGTCTTTTGGCTCCAAAACTGCATTAAATATAATCAGTCTTCCCACAGGAAAATCATCTCTTTTTTCCTGTGTTATATTTTTCTTCTTTTCCTCTCAATTACTTGGCTGACTTGTTTTTAAATAGGGGTTGGGCAACAAACCAACCAACCGGTTTCCAAACCCTATTCAATCGCAGTTCAAATTTTTGGGAACACTTAAGAGATGGCTCGCAAGTAATATCAAAGCCACACAAAACCAACAAACATTTTTATCCATCTTTTCGCTTTCCAAAAATGTTGACCAGTATGATTGGTCTTGTGATCACACCACCGCTTTAACTGTTCAAAAGCTCTTACAGGGAAAGCAATTTGCGGCACCACAAGCCTCGCAAACACCCTGTTTGCACCCTTTTTGCACCTCTTACAGATCCGTGAAAGGTGCAAAAACTTGCCCGAGTTCTTCAAGCTGAGCAATTGGTGGGGCTGGAGGAGAAAAATCAGACCCCAAGACTGACTTGTCTCTTTGGGTAACCTGGCACAGCAACGGGTCTGTGGAACCTGCACCCAGTTGATTTTGTCCATCTTTGGCTGTTTTCAATTTAGTTCTCAAGGGCGCAAAACCGGTTGGTCAGTTTTTTGCCCGACCCCTAATGCATGTCAATCAAAAACAATTCCCAAAGATTCCAAAGCCATCTTGGGACTTCCTAGCCTGTGTGGGAACATCTTGTGCAGCTGATAGGATCTTTTCAACTGCTGCAATTGTTTGTTTTAATTGTCACTGAGGCCTCACCTCCAGAACATTCACACAAGCCGTTGGCATATGTCAATGGCTCAAACAGAAGTGTGTTCAATTGAAAGAACAAATCACTTGAGATTTTTCAAGGTGTCAGCTCATGATGGCCTACCCGCACCCCAGGTTCTAGAAGAAATCATTTATGAGTTTGATGATAAACAAGTTGTAATAGAGAACAACAAGAAGACTTTATAAGCACTCAAAATAATGATGTCATCTAACACTGTTACATCAACACAATGCATCAAGCAAAAGAAATCATAAGTGCATAAGAGAAGAGAAGCACTGAGATTCAGATTTAAATTTGTTCCACACTGTGTTCTAAATGGAGAGCTGGAAACGGTATTGGTAGCTGTGGAACATCTTGTTAGAAGCTTGACTAAGAAGAAAAAAGGAGAAACACTTTAGTTTTTGGCCTACATTTTCTCTCGAGTTTTTCCTTCTCTTGTTTTTCTTGGTCAATCATCTTTAATAATTTTTTGTTCTTGTGACCAATAATCCATAGGACATGCATTTCATACTGTTTTATGCCCTTACAATTATTTCTTCTTATTGTTTTGTCACCTTTTTCAAATTTTGATTTTCTTCCCGCAATTGATTCACTACTGCGCTGCGCTTCACTGCAATTTTGACAGCGCATGGGGTTTTGCAATTAACACATTGCGCGATTTGCGCACCACACTGCGGTGCCCGGTATTCCCCTCTTGGTGAAAAGTGTGCTGTCCTGCGCTGGCGTTGGGGTTTGATTGGAGTGTTTTAGGGCAGAAGGCAAAGAGAGGAAGATATGTCTTTACATGAGGCACGAAATGTGGGGTTAGTCCATGTAAGCGTGATCCAAAAAGAAATGACAATCAAGGAATTGACATTAAAAGAGAAGGGAACATTGTGTAAGCATCCATCCCAAAAGAGAGAATCTACGAGTTCCCTCCAGGAGTGACGGACTTACGACAAAATGACCTAATTGATAGACGCTGTCTTACGTCACTAGTCAAGAGATCAAAAAGAAGCCTTGAGATATATAGAGGGGAGGCTCTGTACCCTTTTCCTTTTTGCTCTTTTGTTACTTACCTTTTAAGACTTTTTGATTCAACTCACAAGAGACTACAGTAACCATCTGTTACCAGTGATTCAACTTAGTATAGGAACTCTAATAGTTATCAATTCCCCGATATTGATATCAACCACTTACAAGTTATTTAAAATTGTAAGAAATAAGAAATAAAATTTTCTGTCCAACCCTCCCTCCCTACATAGGTGAAATAGAATCCTACAGTTCTCTTTCCCCGTGTGGAGACTCCGGCTCCACACGCACTCGTCTTTCTAAGGGGTAATTCCACTTTGAATTCTAGAAAGGTTAAGAAAAACCTTTCGTAGAATATACAAAAGAGGAAAACCCCTTAAAAACTGGCCTTCCTGATTTCTGTAGAATTCAGTAAGGCCTCTAGCCCATATAGACTCCTCTCTCGTCCAGGCACAAGTCTGGAGGAGAGAAGACTCAATTCTCATAGAATAAAAGACTTGAATCAACGGAATAATGGATACTTCACAAACATGGCACGAAGCTGCAAGTCACGCAGACAGGATCTAATTGTATTCACATGATCCACTTTCAGTGTATCACATTCTTCACTTTGTTGACTTGGATTCTAATTATCTGATTCTAAGAATTTCTTGAAGGCCTTGCATTCATTTGACAAATCCATTTCATGAATGACTCAGTTCACCATGTCAAAGAGAAAAGTAGTTAGACAGTAAAAGTAATTCAATTAATGCAAATTGACCCTGTGAATGAACAAACATAGCTTTTGTGTTGTCAGTTCAACAATTTGGTGAATGATAAAGATTAATCTCAAATTCTGCGCCTTAATGATTTGAAGTTGATAGAAAATTTTGAAGGATGATTTTAAACCATCTCAAATGAAGCAAAAGGTTCAGGTGAAACTGAACTAGAAAACTTTCGTTCATTTTTTCTTTTGAAGATTGATTTGAATCTGGACAAAAGCTTTTTGAGTTTTTCAATCTTGGATTTGATTTTATCGAGCCAAATTATTAGTTTGCTTTTGAGTGAAGACATTTGAATATATGGACGCTTTCGAATCTCTCTTCTGTTGGAGATCTTTTGCACATCTATGAACAGACCAAAGTCATTACCATGTGCCTGTGCATATGTTTCAATGTACAACTTAAATTTTTGGCGTGGTCTGTGTGCTCGCCGTTTCGCCTCGTTGTCTGGAATTGTGGGGAGTGATTTGAAGTGTAGCATCGCGTCCTGGGCTTCATTTGCTAGTTCTATGACTTGATCGTATGTTACATCCTGGGGTGCTTCTAGCACAATGCTTGATCGTGGTTTTCCAGCGTTCAAGTATGCGTCTGCTGTAATGTCCGCCAGCGATCTCTGATCGATCTCCTTCAAAGCCTTCTGTCTTCCCATAGCGTCCGCCAAACTTTCTTGAAACCAAACACGCTTAGCTTGATTGGCTATTGTAGGTTTGGTTGGTTGGATTGTGACCATGAGTGCCAGACAGATACGTTTTATGTGGGAATACAAACCAGCTCACGTTGAGTTTTTCCATGTTCAATCGTGGCTGGGATGGTATCGTATGCCCAAATCGATTTTCGTATGGAAGATACTTCCTTTTCCAGCTCTTGAAGGTTCTCGTCTCTTAAAAACCTATTGGTGTGAACCCCGTCTTCCATCTTCAAGTGACGCTCCAGTTCCGTGACATAGATACTTCTGAGTTCTTCAAGTTCACTGACTAGTCGGTTGGTTTCCACTTCGCTCTCCCCATCAATTACTGACTGGAATAGACGTTTTTCTGAGTAAAGTGCAAGATATGCTGTGAAAGTGAGGCCTCGTTCTTTGATTTCTAGAGCCGCCTGATGTTTTTCTGTACCGTCTGTCGCATCTTCATCGAACTCTTTGTCTATGAAACCTGGATTTGGCTTCTTCCGCATAACATCGTCTGTCAATTCCAGAAAAGGCTTGTAACGCACGTCGATGGCTTCCAGGAAGCCCAACTTAGCAAGTTCTTGGTCGTCATTTGATGATAAGCTAGGGAGCGAAGCCGAGCTTGGAGCTATTTTTTTGAAAAATGGCGATAATGATCATTGTCAAAGGCTTGAAAGTTGAGGGAGAGTCTCTTCGTTCTGGTACTGAGGATTCCGCTTACGAGTTTGGACCGGGTCTGAGCTGGATTCCTTCCGAAATGACTCCGCTTGAAGATTGGATTCCAAAGTACAGAACAATGATATACATATCTTCATGAGAAATTTTCTTCAAAGTGATGAAACATGGTTAATAGACAAAATTGACTAATTTGGGCTTCTTACCTCTCTCCAAAGTTGGATTGTCCTCGCCCCTCAAGTCTTTACTTGACTCTGCAAGATCACTGGCTAAAACCGTTTTGTCTACATGAAGAGAAACAATCAGGATCCTATACATCGACACGGTTTCTGATGATTTTCACACCTTTGGGGAGATCAGATATAGTCTCTGCATGGTCTGAGCCCTTTGATAGCCTTGCGATGCCTCCCCTGATTCCAGCGATGGAGCTTCCAAGTTCAGGTGATCTTTTGACACGTACTTTTCCAAAATGCCTTGAAAGATAGACTTGCTCTTTACGATTGACGAGGAGCCATTTCAAGAGAAAAACATTCGTGAGCTTAATATTCTGTCCTTTTGAGATTTAAAATTTGGATGAATGGAAAGTACCTTGCGGATTCTCGTAGAAAAAATGGGCGTTTCCGTGGGTCTGATCAAGTTTACTTCCATGCGGCCGAGATTTGATTGCCGGGATCGACCTATGATGACCTGGAGGCAAATTCTACAAACAGAAATGTCAGAGCCTTTTTTCTATCACAATTTGGCCCGGGAATGATCCATAAAACCTCAATCCTACCACACTAAGAGGTGAAGTCGGCTGGAAATTCTGCCCGATCTTCAAACCGGTTGATACGGAGGTATCATCTCCTAACTTCGTGTTGCTGTGGTCCGGTTGAATGCTTCTGCCTTTCTTGGATCTTGAAGAACATGCATTCAAAGCCAAGTTGAGTAGGATGGCAATGAGTACAATGTATGTCGATCTTAGTGGCATTTCGAGTAGACACCAATCTTATCAAGAAGCCAGGAGTCAGGACACATCAAGTGAACAGGGGGGCCGAAAAGTATGACCTTTGAAATCAAGAATCTTCGAAAGAGCCTGTACTTTGAAGTTGGTCCTGAAACAAAGGACGATGAAACACACAGATTGCATTGAGGTAGATCGGAGATACATCCATGTTACAGGAATGTGATGCAAATGAGAAAATGTCCTCAATGATGGTTATCCGCCTGTACACAGATTTGTTTGCAAATGTCAAGAGTTTTGAGTAACCAAAAGAAGATGGAAGAGCCATGAAGGTGCAAATCGAAAAGGACTCGACACCTTTTGTTAGTGTCAAGCGCGAACTGGAAAGAAGTCCAGAAATGAGCTCGCAGATTATTTGTTGCCCCAAGGCATGATTTCAAAGGATGAGATCGCTAGAGATTTGGAAAATTTGCCTGTTGATACCAAAATACTCATCGTTGATGGAATGCTATATAGGATTTTCGAGAATATGGCGGAAGCCACAGCAGTTCATCAAAACCCAGACATAGATGACCCCTCGTGCCTCGGTCATCGCTTGCTAATAAACCCCGGCACGCTGGGACTTAGTTAAGTTTGTAGATGACCCAGTTGTAGAATACATCTCTCGCCTTTTCTCTTTCAAAAACAGTGATATTGGCGCTATATTGCCCCTAGGGCCAACCCAGCAAAGTCTTCCATCCATAAGACAGCAGGATTCCGAGCACTTAGCGAATCGGTATCTCATTTTTTAAAGCATAGGTCTTGGAATCTTCATGGTAGATTGGATGAATCCAGAAAATCTCTTGAAAACGTTGAATTTATGATATTTTTGGGACAAAACCAGAACCCTCAATCTCGACTCTACAACCACATCTAGTATGTGATGTTGTGACTAACGATTCAAACAATTAATAGTCCAAGAATCCAGGGCTCACGACGAATATTGCAAGAATCCTTGAGCAATCATCTGACCTTCTGGCAACCCCGTTCTTGAAAAACCAGTCAGAATCAACTATCTTTCATTTCACTCATGAAGTCATTGTCACATGATCACCAAGTCCTTTATGTTGATGTTTCATCAGTTATAATCCTTCTGTACCCTTACAATCACAGCACAATCTAAATAACTTCGGTATTCGAAGTTTCACTTTCCCTGAATAGGTTTAAGATCACACTTAGTCTCACGGAGGAAGACTATGTTTGATCAAAAGGAAACAACTTCACCTGAATAGGTTTAAGATCACACTTAGTCTCACGGAGGAAGACTATGTTTGATCAAAAGGAAACAACTTTCTAAGGAAGGAAGATGTGACGCAAAAATGAAGATGAGTTCGATTTATCAAAAGAGAAACATTCTAAGTAAACAATAACTAACACCTGAATAGGTTTAAGATCACACTTAGTCTCACGGAGGAAGACTATGTTTGATCAAAAGGAAACAACTTTCTAAGGAAGGAAGATGTGACGCAAAAATAAAGATGAGTTCGATAAGGAAAGAGAATAACATGATTGAAGTGGTATTCTATATATAGGATCCTGTAGAACTCAACAACGCGTCATGGTGTAAGAAGAGAAACATAACTTGTAATGCGCATGAAATAGAAATAGAGACTGTGAGAGTAATGCGCTTTAAAGGATCACTTCGTGATCCTGATTCCCCCCCATCTTCAAAACATTGTGTAAGCCTAATAGTGTGCAGAAGTTTCCGTGTTTTGCCGGTGTTAGTGATTTTGTCATTATGTCGGCTATCATATCATTTGTCGGGATGTATTGTATGTTGAGTTGTTTGCTTGCTGACAATTCTCTTAACCAATGGTATTTTACATCCACATGTTTTTTCCGTCTTTTAAATTTTTTGTTCTTTGACAACGCTATTGCTCCTTGATTGTCCAATTTGAATATTGGCGTCTCTTCTTGTCTAATCCCCATACCCTTGACTAAATTGTCAACCCAAACCATATCTTGACCTCCTTCATATGCTGATCTATACTCAGCCTCCATTGTTGAAGTTGCTACCGTGTCTTGTTTCTTAGAGTTCCAATTTACCGTGCTATTCCCCAACCTTGTAACATACCCACCAGTAGATCTTCTCGTAATCGGACATATGGCAAAGTCAGCACCTGCAAACACGTTCAGTTTTAAATTGGAACCTCCTAGGACAAGACTTAGCGATTGAGTACCTTTCAGGAATCGAAGTACCCTTTTGAAGGCAATCCAGTGATGTATTGAAGGTCTATTGAGGTGTTGAGATAGTTGAGAAACTACAAATGCTAAGTCTGGACGTGTTGCATTGTTCAGATACATTAATTTTCCAACAGCTCAACAATAACTTACCCCTAGTTTGAGAAATTCTTGTTGTTCTGCTAGCGTTCCCGGGATTAGATACGTGTTGGGTGTCATTGGTGAACCGACTGGTTTGCAGTCTTCCATGCCATAATCTTCCAATAGATCCTGAATGTATTGAGACTGTGAGAGAGTGATGGTCTTGTCTTTGCGGTTCCTGACAACCTTCATTCCAAGTATATGTTTGAAATCAGTGTTGTTGTCCATTTGGAATTGTTTGGTGATGGTGTTCACGAAGCGTTGAACGTCATTTGATGCAATCACCATGACATCTACATGTACATGGACTAAACACCTCCAAGATGGATCTGATGAGATAAAGAGGCTTGCGTCGGAATCTGAGGGAAAGAGGCCAATAGTGGCGAAGAAGGCTTTTAGAGTGTCGTACCAGACCTTCGGAGCTTGTTTCAGACCGTATAGAGCTTGGTTGAGTTGTAATACAGTGTCGGCCGTAGGATTTTTGACATCAAATCCTTTGGGAATCCTGATGTAGATCACTTCTTCCGGTTTACCGTTCAAAAATGCGGCTACCGCATCCATCTGGATGACATCAAGATCTTCCTCAGCTGCAATGGTACAAACCGAGCGAAAAGTAACAAGTCTGCCTGTAGGCGCGTAAGTTTCGTTATAGTCCACACCAAAATACTGTAGAAATCCTAGTGCACATAACCTAGCCTTATACTTGAGTAACTCCCCTTCTGCTCCCATTTTCTTTTTGAAAACCCAGGTTGTGCCAATCTCTTTTTGTCCCTTGGGAAGGGTTACCACATCCCAGACCTTTCTTCTAGTCATGTTCAGTAGTTCACCTGTGATGGCTGCTTCCCATTCGGAGTTTTCGTTCAACATGAGTGCTTGTTTGTAAGACTTTGGGGTTGGATTGGTAGGAGTCGTGGAAAACTTGGATGAAACAGCAGCGGCTCTGCGACGTGATCCTGATGGAAGGATGTTGGAGGAATCTATGTTGCTGGAGATATCTTTTGGCGCTTCAGCTCTGATTTTCCAGTCCCACCCTGGTTTCGTGTGGTCGGTTAGTTGTTCGATGATGTTCTCGTCATCGTTGGAATCCGGATTATCTTCAGGTGGGAAGGGATCTTCAGTCTTGACAATTGGTGATGTAGGAGATGAGTCTTCAGTTTCAAGAATTGGTGATGTAGGAGATGTGGGTGTGACTGGTGGGATGCTAGAATTGGACAACTGTGGTTGAACATCACCTTTGGTGATAGATGGAGATTGTAACTCCTCAGCGTCCGTGGTGATTGTTGGAATGACGTATTCTTTTTCACTGAAGAGACCGGTGATTTCAGTTTCACTTGATTGATCTTCGCCTTTGATTCCTGGAAAGTTATCGCAATCAAAGGTGACGTCTTGTGAGTAGACGATACAGCCGTCATCCAGTCTTACTCGATAATATTTCATACCAACCTGGTATCCAAGGAGAATACCTTTGGTCAAAGTATTGTCAAACTTTCGACAGAACTGTTTTGGAATCAGAACATACGCGCGGCATCCAAAAGGCTTTAGCCTTGAATAGTCAAACCTTCTCCCAAACCACAATTCATAGGCTGATTTGTTGCCTGTTCTTCTGGTGGGTGTGATGTTTTCAAGGAATACCGCTGTCATGACAGCTTCCGCCCAGAATCGATATGGTAGATGAGATTGACGAAGCAAAGTCCTGGCTTTCTCTGTTGTCGTACGGTTGCCTCGCTCTGAGACTGGATTTTGCTGTGGTGTATAGGGAGCGCTCAGATGAGAAGTCGTGCCGTTCTTTGTAAGAAGATCTTGAAACTCCTTGGACATATACTTGCCTCCCTGGTCATTGACCAGACTCACAATCTTTTTGTGGTGAAAAGTCTCAACAAGTGATTTGTATTGCAGAAAACATGAGAGAGTATCGGACTTTGACTTCATAATGAAAACATGCTCGTAATTGGTACATGCGTCGGTAAGTTTAAAATAATAAAGACCTCCACCAACAGACGGGATAGAGATTTTACCGCTCAAGTCACTGTGAACTGCATCAAGAGGAAGCTTCAACGAGGGGAAATGTCCAGAGTAAGGAAGACGATGGCCTTTTGAGAGCTTACAGATCTCACAGTGCCAGGTATGGGGGAGATACATCGTACATCACTTTAAGGCAAGGGGGTTCGGGATGACCTCCCTGTCTATGAAGCATATCATAGTCAGAAACGGAGATGTTGGCACAAGGAGGAATAGCAGAGGACAACATGCCTAAGGTGATTTCTAACTCGATGACTTGATTGACTACATGGCCGATGAACCCTCCAGCGCCGCGCTTGGTCATCAAGATGTCGTCGACAACATTCTCAATCTTGTAGCTGTCCGTTAAAAGGGCGCCCATACTGATTAAGCAACATCCTAAGTCTGGGACATGAAGAGCCTCGAGAACAATCTCATTGTCAGCAGAGTTGCAGGTGAGTGTGCCTTTGCCGGCGATGTGAATGTTGGAACCATTAGCCAAGGTTACTGAAGAGGTGACCGCTTGATAATTGCTGAATAAATCACAATCAGGAGCCAAATGGTGGGAACACCCACCATCCAAGAGGATGCACTTGTGATCAGAAGATGTGACAACAAAGGCTTGTGCCTCAAAGAAGGTGTTGTTGACCACAGCAGCAGAGGCTCTGGGATTGGTGGTTTGAGCAGGTCGTAAGCTGGGATTCACTTGATAGCACTGGAGTGAAGTATGACCTTTGGCCTCCGGATTGTGGCGCCCATTGGAGCAGTACGGTCAAGGTGGTCAATTGAACACCAAGGGGCGTTGAGTCGCAGATCGTTGTAATGATCTGGGTTGTCTGACGGCGAGAGCAACAGAGGTCGCATGAAGCTCCTCATCCCTCATGGTGATGAGTTGAGATTCCAAGTACTTGATCACCTTTTCTGTGGTGAGGGGACGATCTTTACGTAGTAAAGTCTTTGTGATGTCCATGGTGGACGGGAGTTTGCAAACAATAGTTTTGCCAACGAACTTGTCATGAATATGCTTGAGTCCGTCGACGGCAAGTAAGCCAGCGAGGGCGAGTTGGTTGTCGGTGATGTAGGTCTCTAGATCCGTGAATACAATATCGGTCCACTTGAGATAAGCACAAGCTTGATTCTCGTCAGAAGATGATTGGAAGTGCTCTTTAAGTAGCTTCCACATCTTGATGGGATCAGAGACAACATCCTTAGTGACGACTCGCATTTGGTTATCTTGATCGATACAACCGTACAAGATTCCCGCGGCTTTGAGTTTTCTGGTGGAGAAGGTGTCGACACTGCCCTTATCATCCGCTTTGATAGTGGGAACTGGGGGATGATCGATATTGATGAACTCTTGAAGATTGCAAGCCATCAAATGAGCAACGACATCACCTGACCATTCAACATAGTTGGTCTTCGCGAGTTTAGGAAAATGTACACAAGTCGAGGAAGAAGTATCGGTCATATCGAAAAATTGAAATTTGACGTAGAAGTTGTAAATCGAAAAAAAAATTGAAGAATCACGGCTATTGGAGCGCTGGGCTCATAACCAAATAACTTCGGTATTCGAAGTTTCACTTTCCCTGAATAGGTTTAAGATCACACTTAGTCTCACGGAGGAAGACTATGTTTGATCGAAAGGAAACAACTTTCTAAGGAAGGAAGATGTGACGCAAAAATAAAGATGAGTTTGATTTATCAAAAGAGAAACATTCTAAGTAAACAATAACCAACACCTGAATAGGTTTAAGATCACACTTAGTCTCACGGAGGAAGACTATGTTTGATCGAAAGGAAACAACTTTCTAAGGAAGGAAGATGTGACGCAAAAATAAAGATGAGTTCAATAAGGAAAGAGAATAACATGATTGAAGTGGTATTCTATATATAGGATCCTGTAGAACTCAACAACGCGTCATGGTGTAAGAAGAGAAACATAACTTGTAATGCGCATGAAATAGAAATAGAGACTGTGAGAGTAATGCGCTTTAAAGGATCACTTCGTGATCCTGATTAATCTCTCATTCTATTTATTCACTCATTTATGCTTCTATTACTTGAATTTAGAATCACATTCATTCTGTGTTGTTCTGGTTATGTCTGGAATCAAGACTTGATCTTCTCACTTCACTGCATTTAGTTTGGACAACTTCTTTGGGGGAAAACACAAAGGTAGGAAGACACTTTGTGATCATGGCAAGAGGACAGAAATCACTTACAGGAAGAAATCCAATGTATGTACAATATGGTTCCTGGGGTGATCACAGGATTTGACCTTCTAATTATGTATCTTGCGACCCTACATGATGGATATTTTGTTTCAAGCAAAATTACGCAATGGATGCTTTTTGTTTACTCTGATTCTCATCATCTGATTCAAAGACATTCTGATCTAAAGCTTCTATTCATTTGTCCAATCCAACTCATAACACTACACAAAATGTTATCTTTACCGGGCGGTAAAGAAAACTACTGACATAGAAAAGTCCTGAGGCAACAGGAAGAGAGCTAAAAATCTGAAAAAATATGCACCTTGTTCCTAGATGTTGGGGCGTCATGATGAGTATTTTTTTGTATTTTACACGCAGATATTGGTTTATGTACTAACAATAAACGCTGAAAATCATCAAAAACTCACATGTAACAATACCTGAAATTTGGCCCTTGATTTTGAAGACAGGATTTTGGAATCTTCAAACATCAATAACTTTTGCAGTTCTGAATCAAATCACTCGATTCAAAGTGCATTAGAAAGGTGAGCCTTTCCTTTACATTTTTCATTGAGACATCACATCTGTAGCTGGTCTACAAAAGATCCTACAGAGCTATTCATGCAGAACTGTTTGAACATATGCAGAGTGTTTAAATGACTAGATAGCACCTTACTAAAATTATGAAGTGTGAAGGAGAATAGTTCAGCCTTTGAATGAACCAAAAATCGAGTTATTTGGAGCAGAATTGCAAAAGTTATTGAAGTTTTTAGACCACAAAATATTGTCTTCATACTCATGACCCAAATTTCAGGTATTGTTACATGTGAGTTTTTGATGATTTTCAGCGTTTATTGTTAGTACATAAACCAATATCTGCGTGCAAAATACAAAAAAATACTCATCATGACGCCCCAACATCTAGGAACAAGGTGCATATTTTTTCAGATTTTTAGCTCTCCTCCTGTTGCCTCAGGACTTTTCTATGTCAGTAGTTTTCTTTACCGCCCGGTAAAGATAACATTTTGTGTAGTGTAAATCTTTCAGTGGGTCATAACAAAGACCAAAGTGACTAGGAATAAAGAAAACTACAATCAATATAATTTTACCATGAAGACCGCAAGCCAGTATTTGTTATCTTTTTAACATGTGGTGGATGCCCAAGCATCTTATTGTGATTTTATATCCTGCGCTTTGATATTTTGAATTTGACATACATTCGGCCCATGTTCCAATTAATCAAAGCAAGACTCGAAAGATGATTCACCATGTTTTTAGACCACCAACAAAAAACCAACAAGTTCATGAAGAAACTTCTTTGTTCTTTTTGAAAATTGACGTAATTAGTTGGGATATAAGCTTTCTGAACTTGGTCTTAAGGTGATCAGACCAAAACGACAATCTTGTTTCAACCCGAATCTCTCTTCTATCAGAAATCTTTTGCAAATCTATGAGCAAAGAATAGTCAATCCGATTTCTCTGTGCATACGTTTCGATATACAACTTGAAAGCTTTTCGAGTTTCTCGTGCTTGTTTTCCATTTTGAATGTTCCTTAGAGGGCCAGAATCAAGGATCAATGCTGCGTCTTGTGCTTGATTAGCTAGTTTGATGACCATCTTTTTGGTCGCATCTTTAGGTGGATTGATCACCGTGTTTGATCGTGCGGTTCTAGTGTCTAAGTATGCGTCTGCTGCAATATTCGCTAGTGATTTCTTCATAATGTCTTTTGATGCCTTTTGTCTTCCTTCAGATTCATCCAAGGTTTCTAGAAACGAAACCCGCTTGGCTTGCTTGGCTAGAGTAACCTCGTCTGTTTTGGTTTTGACAATCAGTTCAAGATCAATGCATTTTTCCAAAAGAAGAAATCCAACTCACCAGCTTGTACAGCTTTGAGCTCGGATGGGGTCACTGTGCGTGCCCATATCGAGTTCCTCATGTCAGATACTTCCTTTTCCAGTGCTTCAACATACACCTCATTTAAAAATTCTTTGGTCTCCACTCCTTTCTTTAGTTCATTCACATAAATACTTCTATGTTTTTCAAGTTGAGTAGCTAGTTGATCAATCTTCACATTCTTTTCACCCTCAAGTGCTGATTGGAATAAAAGTTTCTCAGAGTAAAGTGCAAGGTGAGCCAGAATACTGAGCTCATCGTTTTCTTCGTGATTTGGATCTGGTACGGATCTCATGAATTGGTCTGTTAACTCAGAAAAAGGCTTGTACTTTATATCTAGGTGTTCTAGGACTTTTAATCGGTGAATTTCTTGAGATTCTTTTGATGATAAGATGGGAAGAGATTCAGACCTTGAAGCTATTTGTGTAAACAAACACAATGAGGGTCAGTGTCAGAGGTTTCAATAGCGAAAAAGGAATTGCATACTATGGAATTCACTTACGCTTTTGAACCGGTGGTAATTTGGATTCCTCTGGTAATGAATTGACTTCAAGATCAGAGTCCAAAGCACCCAACAAAGATATGTCTTCATTAGAAATTCTCTTCAAAGTGATAAAATATGACATAATCCAGTTTCTTACCTCTATCAAACTTTGAATCGTCCTGGCCAGATCCTCTTAATCCTTTATAACCTGGTCCTAGGTCTGAAAGATCAACATCTAAAAGTGTTTCGTCATCATGAAGAGAAACAGTCAGCTTCTTGTATCTCAATACTGATGTTGAGTGGGTTCAGACCTTTAGGAAGACCAGAGAAATCTTCTACATTGTTGTTCTTGGCTAGCCCTTCGATGCTTTTCCCGAGTCCAGAGATAGAGCTCCCAACACCTTCAAATGCCCTTTTGACGAGCACTTTTTCAAACCGCTGCGGTACATCCACCACATCTTTGTAATTGAAGAAGTTCCATTGCAAGAAAAAAAACGCAAGGTTGGATTTAGTCCTGGAAAAATTGTGTCGCTTGAATAAATGGACAGTACCTTGCCAATTCTTGTGGAAAGTATGGGCGGTTTTCTGATCCTTGTCTTCTTTGATCTCCTGTGAGTTGGTAAATTGAGGTTGAATGAATTGATTTCCTGCAATCGAATTCTACAAACAAGAACGTTTCAAGCTTTTATCAACAAGAATTGAAACACAAGATGATCCACGAATCCTAATTCTTACCTCACTAGACCGTGAAGAGCTTTGCCAGATTGTTGAGCCGGTGTGAACGGAGTGATCTGATCTTGACTTTGTGTTGATCCGATCAGGTTGGATATTTATTCCATTCTCAAAACTGCCGACGACGTCGTTACTTATTAACAAGTTGAGTAAGATCACAATATGTGAAATGTATGTTGACTTGCGTCGCATTTCCCTCTATTGATGTTATCAGGCCCCCGGGCCGGAGGGGGACGAGATGATCAAAAAGCTCGTCCTTTGGAGTCTTGAAGATTAGCAAGAGTTTCTGATTTGAAGCTTTTATGTAGTGAAACAATCAAGAACGAAACACCAATATCAGATTTTGGTCCAATGATATGTTACAAGAATTTGATAAACATGATAGAAAAGTTCTCAACAATGATGGTTTCTGTGTAGATTGGAAAAGAGATTTTTCAAAAAAAGGTGGAAGGGATACAAAAGTGAAGATTGATAGATGAAGAGTTCATCGGCGCTTGGTGGCCATTGTCCGCAGCGATTACTTTGTTGAGTAAGGCTTCATCCACTTCGATCAGGTTGCATCCTTTAACTGTGAGCGCAGATTCGAAGAGCTCATCAACCCCGCTTGTGATTGGTGTCAAGCGGAGGTCGAAACACCACCCTGGTTCCCGGAAGGCCCCACGGAAGGCATTCTTGAGGTCGTTGAATAAGTTAAAATGAAGCTTCCTCCCGCACCTCACGAGTCCCACTTTGAAAAGTTTAATCTCCTAACATGAAGACGAGTTTCTAAAGGTTGTCACTTACACAACAAATCCTTTTATAACAAACTTTCTGTTCTGAAATTACTTGGTTGCTTTGAGACTAACTAGAATCCTGCTTGCCATTTTTTTGGTGGGAAAAGCTAAGATCAAAGCATGTAACTCGAGTTTAATAGCTGAAAGGAGTCGGATCAAGAAGTTATTGGATGAACTACACCTTCAGAATCCCCAAAATGCCCCAATTCTTGAGAGATAAAGTTGTTCTTTACCAAATAAGGGTGCCTAATTATAGGTGCGGTTGTTGAGCAGAAGCAGGTGCGCTGGCGCGCCTTGTGAGAAAAGGACACGCCCCCAGCCTAATATCACTATCATTTGGCGGCGGCGCAATTGTGAATGGGATTGCAGCTTGGGTTCCATTCGATCTGCAAAATCTTGAAAAGTGATTGATGCAAGTGAGTCTTGCGTCATAAGAAACAGTCAAACTATATCCTGCTAGAGTACTCTAAAGCTTCATGACGGGGTTCAGATCCAGTCTTTCAAAGTTGAATCACACATGGACGAGGTGGTGAACATCCGTTTTCCATGCGTGGTGATTGTGGCACTAAATTTTGTACTTTCTGACCCGAGGGTCGTAAGGTTTTCAAGCTGAATTGCACCGACTGTAGCAAGTACTGTGGCCAGATTCTTTTGAGCCAAGACCCTCTGGAAATCGAAACTTGGGGATGAAGTGAAATTGTAGAAGAAGTCAACTTCAAGGTTCAAGAAATACATTTTGAACTGATAGACTGGTTCTTAGAGCAAGATTGATGGTGAGAAGAATTGAATGAATTATTTTGTTTTAATGAACTTGATGACTGATTGATTTTAATTTTCAAAGACTCAAACCCATCCCATCCCAATCCAAGCTCACCTCACTCTGACTCTAACACCAAAATGAGTTTATCAAATCATTCACTTCATCTTTCTAATTCATCGTCAAATCATCTAAACCTATGCGGAATTCCAATCAAATATTTATCTCTCATCACTCTAACTCTTCAAAATAGTTTACTTACTATTCTTTGTAAGTTTATCCTCATTTGTTTCTTGAATCATAAACTAACTAACATTTCTCATTTCATGTAACTCGAATCTCATTCTTGGATGGTACTACTGCTGATCGATAAGTGCATTATGTTAGTATGAATGAAACTATCTAGAAATCTTGTTTCGATCAAACTAATCCCATAAATGATTTACCCTTCTTTCTTGTTTTTCTATAGTCACGGAACACTCCTTCAAACCAATCCTACTCAGCTCCAGCTGCAGTCCTACTAAACGAGATTCTAAAATGTTTAATCTCATTAACCATTGCGATCTACAATTCATCAACTTCTTTCTCGACCGATACTCGTTCAGATGACAAAGTGGGTCAGCTTTGTAGGTTTTCTAAACTCACTTATTTTTGATTTTGTTCATCACTGATTTGGTGTTTATCTTTTTTTGGCGGTTTCTATTTAGCTTCACTTCTTTTTCATCATCCTGATTCTCTCGATAGTCCTCGTTCCGATCACTCTGTTTTACCGATCTCAAATCGGTCAAGATCTTCAATCGATTCTGATACTCGTCTTACCCATAACTTTGTTCAGTTACTTATTCAACAGACCTTACAGACCTTCAAGTTAATCATCAGGTAATTCTTCACTGACATGATCCCCTTTTTGTTTCGGATTTGTTAATGTTTGGTGTATTTTTTCTCGTAGTCGTGATTGTTGGAAACTTTCTATACCTGCTATTCTTTATGTCATTCAGAATAACCTTCAATTCGTTGCAGCCTCTCATTTAGATGTAGCCACTTTCTCAGTGACTTATCAACTAAAGGTATGCAATATACTGATCCTGATCAAACCAAATCTCTCATCTAACCTTTTTGCACATTCTATGGGTCAGATCTTAACCACAGCACTTTGTTCGGTACTTATGCTTGGTCGTCGATTATCGACCTACAAATGGGTTTCACTCTTTTTCCTAGCCATCGGAGTCGCACTAGTCCAAGTCCAAAACACGCCCTCAGCCCCACCTAAAGATCATCCAAGCAATTTCGAATCAACTGATCGACTCATCGGTTTTATTGCTGTCACGGCTGCTTGTTTCACATCAGGTCTAGCAGGCGTTTACTTTGAACTAGTCTTAAAATCCTCCACAAAAGTAGATCTCTGGATCCGAAACGTTCAACTCTCAATCTTTTCTCTCTTACCTGCACTCTTCACTGCATTCTATTACTCATCAAATTCTCAACATCATGGATTGTTTGATCATTTCGGTTGGGCTGCTTGGGCTACTGTCTTGACCCAAGTCATGGGTGGATTAGTTACGGCTTTGGTTATTAAGTTTGCGGATAACATTTTGAAAGGGTTTGCGACTTCTTTATCGATCATCTTATCAACTTTTGCTAGTGTGATACTTTTTAATGCTCCTCTTCCGCTTGGATCGGTTATTGGAGCTTCAGTAGTTCTTTTGGCTACTTACTCTTATAACCATCCTGTAGCTGCTGATCGACCTACTAGTTTAACTGGTTTACCTATTCGTATGCCTCCTAAGATTCCTACATGGAGAGACCATTCTGGGAACAAGAAGGAGGATGGGTCTGTACCTTTTTCGGCTCCTCTTGGGATCGGAATCAGTCTTCATGGAATCGATTCGATTGGATTTGGAAACACGAAATATTCATCAGCTTTTCCTAGTCTTCAATTTAATCCTTTAACGACTTCTTCTTCTGAGGATAAGGTTTTATCTGGTTTGATGAATTCGAATTCCAGAGGTTCGTCTGATACTATTGAACATGCGTCTGGGGGTGGGTCTCCGGCTAGGTATTTGATGGGGTCGGCTCATTCTAGAGGTTCGGCTTCGAGAGAGAATGATGAGGATTTGGAACTGGATGAGAAGATGATTTGAAGGGATTTGATTCATAGGGGATACGTACTTGGACTTATTGGTTTCTTATGGGAAACTTTTTATGCGGTTTTTTTGTGGGGTTTAGTTTAGGGTCTTGCTTGAAGATGATTTGGATCAATGAAGGGTAGATGCATCAATAGGAAATCAACAATTAGATTTGATGTGTTTTTTGTTTTTTTAACTTTCTTTTTTAGGGTTTTTTTCATTGAGTGAAATCATCATGAACTTTTAAATTTTTTTTGTAATCTTAAGATTTTGGTTGATGTTTGGTTTTTGGTTTTTCTGAATAAAACTCACTGGTGTTTTTTCTTTCTTTTTTTTTTTGGTTGGGTTTTTTTGGTCACTGCAGCAGTATATGTGAAGAATGCAAAGTATTTTATGTCTTGAGGGGGGTTTGATTGTCTTGTTTGTTTGGGTTAATTAGGCATATACAATTATTAACCTTTATGCAGTGTTCTTTTACTACTCAGTGGAATATGTCCAACCTCAAATCAATCTCAAATCAATGTCAAATCAATATCAATTCAATATCAATTCAATATCAAATCAATCTCAAATCAATCTCAAATCAATCTCAAATCAATATCAATTCAATCTCAATCCAATATCAAACCAATCTCAAACCAGTATGAATGTTTGGCCTAGAGTAGCAAACAAACAGTCTTCCAGAATGGACTCAAATAAGGTTTGGTTGTATCTCTGTTGGAATTTTTGGAAGGGTTGGGTGGGTATGCTGCTTAGGCATATTACACACTTGAACTGAATTGGAGGTTGAACTGGGATTGGATTGGGATTGGATTGAGGTGAATGGAACTCACTGGGCTGCTAGTGACTAGTAAAATGACACTGTGCTTAGTAGGTCTATTGATTGGGTTGTGGCCTAGCACAATGAAGCCTTTGGTGATTTTGGGTTGTGCTTTTTGTGTATGGAATCATACTAAAATGAGTGCAATATTGAGCTGATCAGTGGACAGATTTTGCTTGGGGGTTGATTTGATTTGGTCTTGAGTTATGAGATTTTCTGTGGAACAGTTTGAAGAAGTTGATCAAAGCTTCACTGCCAGCATATTTACCTTGGATTAAAAAATCCAAGGGATTGGGGAATTTCAAACCTTGAGAAGGTATCCAAGGTTTTGGTCCAAGGTGATTCTTAGCACACAAGAATACCTTGGATACCTTGGACAAGGTCTGTGAGAGTCCAAGGATTTGTCTTCAATGATGCCTCAGATTTCTTAACCCAAGGCATCTATAGTGGTGCTCAAAATTGACCCAGTTACAAAAAACCCAGTCAACCCAGTCAACCCAGTTGACTTTTTGGCTGTGAGCTATCAACAAATGTTGACTTGATACACAAAGTTACTGCCAAAAAGCAATTGGTCCAACTGGGTTTTCTTGAAGCTGGGTCTACTTTGAGCACTACTTATGTTGGCAGTGCTTGCATGTGCATTGCGCTTGGGACCCTGTCTGAAAGACTGTGTATATAACATGGTTCAGTTATACCCACTAGGTCACCCATCTAGATCACATGACCAAGACATTTTACTGTGCTATAAATCCATATTGGGTGTACCTTATGACCCTTTAAACATCAGTCTGGTGTTATAACAATTCAGAACTTGAAACCATGCCAGTCAGGTATTGACAGATATAAATTCAACTAATTAACTTCAGGCTGTGGGACAATGTGAAGTTGTACTCTTACAAAATCCTACTCATTAGCAGTTTTGTTGTGACTACACATTCTGGGTCAAGATATCATGACATGTATGATCATAGCTAAACAGCAGTACATTCAACTGCATTGATAAAACATTGAGTTTTGCTTGAAATCCCTCATAAAACCCCACCCTTCTATGACTTTTTAAATTGTCCCTTCCTATCAAGAAACCTTGATCAGCTATCAAATTTTATATATTTGGTTATCTTCAACATCCCCCAAATATTAATCAGTCAACATCATTCAATTTTTGGAAACCAAATTCAAATCCTCAGATTGATTGTCTGTCAAATGTATCATCATCCAAGATACATTTTGTTCCCATTGATTGGGGTGTTGCTTCAGTCATCCTCATGTGTAAGATCATTCTCAGATGGAGTTATTGATGTTTCCAGATTGGAGTCAACTCAGAAGCCAGTTATGTCAACTATTGGTGAGTTATATTCAAGGACCACCTAAAGATCTGTGGTAAAATTTCAATCATTGGAATACAATACTGATGAATCCAAATGTGTTCTGGATTTCATGATAAAGAATACAGTACACCTGTTGACAAGGCTCTCTTGAACCAAGATCATCTTAATGCTTGGAGAGACTTGAGGACAATTGAAGAGGTGGCCATGAACCGTAAAGATAGTTTTGTCTTCAAAAAGAAGGTGGCTGATTTTGTTGAAGACCTTGCCAAAAAAAATCCTTCACTAAATGATCAAGATTGGTTATCATCTGAAGCCATTTGGCTGTGGACTTTGAACAGACAAAACAAGTCACTTTGTACTCTCTTGTATTACATGAAGCAAACTTTGAAATTACATTTACCACAACATACTCACCAAGAGATAGATGAAATGGCTGAAGAAATTGTTAAGAATTTCAAATTTTCCTCCCAGATAAAAGATCATCCTGTAAGGGAAAGAATTGGTCCTTTCTTGGATTCAGTTATGACACAATCAGGTTTTTATTTACTAATGCAGAATTTGAAGATGGAGAAAGACTTGAATTTGCAAATGGGCACACACTCCTTGTGGGTTAAAGTAGATCCTTGGAAAGGAATCATTGGCACAGAAGATCAAATTGATTATGGAAAAAGCTACCGACAATACATGAGTTTGATTGAAGTCTTTGACATTTTAGCTGCAGCAGGCTTACAGGATAAAGGTGCAATTTTGAAACTGACACCAAGATCTGTTGATTTACGTCTTGCTAGGAAAATTCTTGCTGAACATGCTCCAAAAGCTCGAGATCTGCATTACTACCTTGTAAATGATGTTCCATACAATCCTCCTAAAAAATTGAATCTTCCAATATTTGGATACCCCTTTGAATTGAATGGTCAGGATTCTAATCAAGTTGAAGATCAAGTACATAAGTTATGGTCAAAATTTGAAAAAGAAGATTTGAAGATTGTATTGAAACTTGAAAATCCTGTGAAAACAATGCAAAAGGGTGATGTAATGTTTCCAAGAAATTTCAAAAGGATGACACAGTTTAAATCACTCTGGAAAATGAAAGACAAATCCAAGTATAGATACCTATGGGGAACTATAACAAGATCTATTGGAATAGTTCTAAAGCTTGACAAGATAAACTCTGGTGCCCATGTAGTATTTTGGAATATAATGTATTCAGCATTCAAGTATCTCCCAAAAGAGGAAATTGATCCCAAGAAAGTTGAAGTTCAAATAGAAAATAGTGTTATGTTCTACTTATTAATCAGAAGGATGGGAATTGTATTGGCAGAGGTATTCAAGTTGCATTCTACTACAAGTGCTCCAGAACAAGAAGTCAACAAAGAACAGTGTATAATGTATTATTGGTCTTTATTCAATTATGCACCACCAAATGGAACCTACAAGCACAAAGATAAAGTAAAGTGGATGAAGTTTGGCATTGGAAGAGTCTATATTAATCACCTTTTAGCTTCAATGAAGCTGAATGAGTTGTTTCAGAAGACAAGCACTACCCAGGAAGAGATTGTATCACATGAATCATCTAGTTCAACCTTTAGTGAAAACCTTGGTCAAAGTAGCATAGTTGATTCCTCTGGAGACATTGATTCTATGGAGCAAGTAATTGTTAATGAAAACCCAATTGATAATCCCAAGTTTTCAAAATCAAGAAGTCTTGAAAGAAAAACAAAACTCAAACGTCTTGAAGAGGCATTAAATCAAATTCAAGCAACTCACAGAGCACCAGATGTATCTCCTCCAAAAAGGAAGGTTTCAATGCATGATATTGCATTGGAACCCAAGTTTTTTGCATCAATTCCAAAGAAGCCAAGAACTCAACAGATTGAGTATAACCCCCACATCCGTGAGGAAATTGAGCTTCTCAACAGGAAACTTGCCCTGAGGGAACCAAACTTGGATAGAACACAAAGCACAGTTTACAATCAAGTCAATTTAAAGCAAAAAAATCAAAACCCAGACCCTAGCTACCAAAGTATGGGTGATCTCAAAGGTCCAGGTGAGAAATTATCCTGCTTTAATTATGAATTCTGACACAATCTGACATAAAATTGTAATTCAAATGTCACATAGGAGCAACCCATGGGGTTAATCCTGATTCTTGATTGAGAAATTCTCATCCTACAGAACCACCCTCAGTTGAGGATAGAGGTTCTTTCATGCTTTCTGACCTCAATGAACCTTTGGAGCCAGATTACATGTAGTGGTGCCCTGGAATGGCAGAGGATTATCATCTTTGATGTTGTGTTGAGATACTTTGCAGTCAAAACCCTGATGATACATACAACCTCTGCAAAAATTGGACACCATATATGTGATACTTGCTCATTTTTTTCTAATTGATATTCATATTCACAAATCCCAGAAGTGTGGATCTCTAAACCTGATTCATTCTTTTACATTTTTGGAAATATCCAATGATTCCTTTCTGAAACTTTTTGAAACCAAATGATATGTCTCATGAACGCAATGAACCTTTCTAATCAAAAATCTGGTTTATTGATCTTGAATACATCAATTATTGACATGGATGGATTTCAGCATTGTTATTAATGCTTTCAGAAATTTGGGATTCTAATAAAACAATGAGCATTCTTTGACTATGTTTGTCATGATGTGCTCCTGATCTTCATGCGTGTACAGTCCCCTCCAAGTAATGTATGTAATCATTCAAGTTCTGCAGTGGTGGGACCAGGGTTTGTCCTGAACCCAATGATTACAATTCCTAGGTGTGAGGATGTGTGCATAACAAGTGGAATTGATGAAATAGAACATGATATTCTCAGTATTTTTCTTAGCAAAGGTTTGAATGTGTTCCTTGAATTTAGTAGAAGATCAGGTATTTGAGGTGGAAATGAGAACAATCCAATGAGATCAATCCACAAAAAATCCTTCGATAAGATTTGTGTATTTTCACAAAGTGCAAATCTTTTAGTGAAAACACAACATGTGTAGGCCAGGTATTGCCCAAAGTGCACTTCTTCGATCTGCTTTGTTTCCAAATTTATGTAGTGTAGCAAAAACCTGCTATGGGCCCAACCTGCTCTGCTCCTCTATTAAACATGAACCATTACATACTCCCGGAAGTGCAGTGGTTATTCACTCCACTACCTTGTATTTTTAGTCCAAAAGCAGCAGGATCCACAACTTCAAGAGATTTTCAAAGTAATTCCAGAAAAATTTCAAACAAATCTCAGAGAACCTTCAGAGAACCTTCAGAGAACCTTCAGAGAACCTTCAAGGTGATGCCTGCATCAACTGGACAGTTCTCCAGACCAAAATGAGAAGCATGTGGCAGCTCAAATGAAAGAGAGGACCAATGACCTCCAAGAACAGGGGCCAAGATAGATTCTCACATATAGGTGAGCACAGTACTCTTTCATGAATGCTCCAAAAAAGACTCAACTTCTTTAAAATTCACATATAGGTAAGCCCAGTACTCTTTCATGAATGCTCCAATAAAAGGCTCAACTTCTTTGAAAATCTTTCAGTTCACAATGTTGATTGTGTTCAGGTGATCAGCCTGCTTTGCTCATGTTTGATTTGAGATTTTGGGGGCATGCTCATTATAATCTGGGTTGAGAATTTTGAGATCTTTCTATTTTTTAATTCAAACCAATGATCTTACAACTTATTCAGAAAAGCATAGACTGAGTTTTTGTCAAACAAAACCCACTTGATTCAACTGATTCTGAGTACTCATCTGCAAGACTGTGCTCAAAGAATGCTCATTCAAGATGGAAATGAGCATTCTCCAGAAATGTACAACAAAATTTGAGCAAAACAGCCTGATCACCTGAGCACTGCAAAAATTGTCAATTGAAGCAATCTGAAAGAAAAACAATCTTTTTTGGAGAATTCAGGAAAGTGTACCATGCTCACCTGTATGTGAGCATCAATTTTGACCCCTGTGTGTCAGCTAAGGCATAAATATTATCAGATACAGTATACAGTCGAACCCGCGCAATTGCATACCCGCGCAACTGCATAATCAGCCTTTTTGCATAGGCCAGGACTTCCCCCGACTTGGTGCGGGCTAAAAATTGCATTTATTGCATAATTTTGTCAAAAATGATAATGCATAAGTCAAAACCCAAAAAAACCGGGTCTTGGAAGCCCAATTGCATAGCTTTTACTCAAAATACAGGATAAAAAGTACATAATTAGGCATAAACCTTGAGCCCTAAGTCTTAAAGCCTAGCTCATAACCTGCAAAAATGCATAATGTTATGTATTTTGGCCTATTTCCGCATATATGCATAACTTTATGCATTTTAACCTATCCTGTATTTTACCTCACTTTGCATAACCTGTGAAATTGCATAGGCCGGATGTTCCCCCCAAATTATGCAATTGCGCGGGTTTGACTGTATACAGGTTCTTTCTTGTGTACCAGAAATATCAGAGTAGACATGCTACACATTTGCCTGATGGCAGAAAGCATGGTGGTGGAAATCCCATAAAAATCCACTAAATCTGTGTGTTGCTGCATAACAGTTTTGGAAAAGGAAGCACAGGCACAGTCCCAAGACCCACTTTCACCCTAGGAGTGTAGCACAGGTGGGGCAATCCCCTCCTCTGCTGCCCTGTTTTTGCTGTTTGTGGTGGATGTGAGGGGTCAGCTACTATTTGGCTGACTCTTCACTAAAAAGTGAAGTACAAACAACAATAAATCAACACACTGCTTCTTTCCCTTACACACAAAACATGAGATTTGATTCCAGCAAGTTAATTGACTCACCCAAGCTTCCAGAGTTCATGTATGTTCACACACAGTACACACTGGGAGGGAGTCTACATGACTAATTGTTGAGTGTGCGCCTACGTCCTAAGCAGAACACAAGATCTCAAAAACACACCCTTACCCAGCTCCAATTGTGTTGTGTAAAGAAAAATGGGGCCTGTTATGGAGCTAGATCTTTATTGTATGGTCGTTCCAGCTGCAACATGTATTGAATGTAATCCTCTCACTGTGAGGGTTATCAAATTATCGTACACAGTTTGCATTGTAAGAACATAAAGATACAAACACTGTACTACAAGAGGTGAGCTTATGGTTTGCTGTTCTGATCATGACACATTTTATAAATCAGCAGTTTGGGTGTGTTTAATGTGCTTAGTGACATCATGATATGTAAGATAGTTATGTGATATGAGAACTAACTCAGAGAAGTTGTGACGCCTTGATAAAACCTTGGGTCCACCTTAAAGCCCTGTTGCAAAATCCCCACCTTTCAATCAACTTTCCCTCACCATTCCAGGATTATAAAATCTTCACTCAGCTACAGCATTGATCAAATCCTGTTTTGAAGAACCCTCCAGAAACCTCTCTGTCAGCATTATTGGAATTTTGTACTCAAACCCACATCCTAGGGTTGATTGTTTATCAGATGTATTGTGTTAACATATACCTATTTCTGCCATTCATAATTTCTTTGCTTCAATTCTCAAGATCTGTAAGATTGGTTTCAAATGGAGTTCAAAAGTTTGCCATTGAGTCAACTCAAAATTTGAGGCAACCAATGGTTGGTGAGTTGAGCCCTAGACCATATCTCATATCTGTGATTATGATGATTGAATAAAAGACTAATAGTTTTGCATGCATTCAAAGATGAAGAATACAAAAGACAGATTGACCACATCCTCTTGAATCAAGATCACCTCAATAGCTGGAGAGATTTGAGAGAAATTGAAAAATTGGCTATCAGCTATAGAAAACCTTCAATGTATAAGAGTAGGGTTGCAGATTTTGTGGAAGAACTGTCAAAGAAACATCCTTCTCTTCAAGAAGAGGACAATCAATCACCCAAAGGAATTCTACTGTGGGAAAAATACAAACCCAACAAGTCACTTGCCATCCTTCTTTATTACCTCAAGCAAGTGCTGAAAGTGCATTCACCCAGTATTAATCACAATGAGATAGATGACTTGGCTCAAGAAATCATCAAAACATTCAACTTTTCAGCCAATGAAAATGGAAAGTGTGTTTCAAGGACTATGGTTTCTCCCTTCTTGGATGTTATCATGTCACACCTGGGTTTTTATCTATTCATTAATAGCTGCAGGAATTATACAATTTCAGACTTTACAGAAGGCTTGCAATCATCAGTTGAAAGATTGAATAAATGGAAACAGATTATCAGCAAGACAGACCAAGTTGTGTATGGTCAAAGCTACCGGGAATACATGAAACTGGTTGAATTCATTGATGTGCTAGCTGCTGCAGGCTTACATGATAGGAATGCCATCTTGGAACTTAAACCAAGCTCTATCAAATTATCTCTCACAAGTGAGGTTCTTTTTGGAAAATCTCCTGGATCTCTAAAACTGCATCATTACCTCACAAGTGATTTGCCATACAATTCTCTTGTGGCACTTAATGATGAAATCTTTGGATTTTATTCTGAAATTAATGGTCAAAATCCCAACAAAATTAAGGATCAAGTACACCAGCTATGGTCAGAATTTGAGGAAAACCATCTAGGAATTGCATTACAGATGAGTGAGCCTGTTGGAATCCCCCAACAGAAAGAGTTCATATTGCCCCAAGAAGTCACAAGGATGAAAGAGTACAAATTACTTTTTGAAATGACAAGCAACTCAAAGTACAAAGAAATGTGGAGAAATATTTCAAGATCCATTGGCCTAGTTTCAAAACTGACAGTGGGGGATTCTGAAGCCTTGGTGGTATTATGCCATATATTGAGGTCAGCATTGTATTATTTTCCAAGACAAGAATTGGAATCAGATAAATTGGGACTTGTGATAGAAAATAGTGTTATGTTTTACCTATTTGTCAGAAGGATTGGAAAGGTACTGGAGGAGATGTTTAAGATTCATTTTCCCAATAATACTACAAAGGAGAAAGCCACTCGAGCACAGTGTATCTATTGGTCCTTGATAATTTTCCAGAAACCAAGGAACTTTTACTCTTACAGCCGTGAAAGAAAAGCAAAGTGGATGGAGTTCCGCCTTGGAAGACTTTATTATGACTACCTTTTGGCCTCCAGAAAGCTGAACAACTTGTATCACCATATGAGCACTGTTCAGGGGAAGAGAACAACAAATTCCTTGTCATATTCAACTTCCAGAAACCCTTTTAGTCAAAGTACCACAATTGATGCTCCTGGACATGTCCAAAACATGGGGTGGGGCACTCCAAATCTTTATTTGAACACAATCCATGCTCTGAATTTGGGCACATCAAGATATCTTGGTAGAGAAACACAGTCAAAGAATCTTGAAAAGATTCCACATCAAAGTCTGAAAACTTCCACATTTTCACATATATTATCTCACAAAAGAAAGTTCTCAACAAATAAAAGTCTCTCAGATCCCAAGTATTGTACTTTGCTCACAAAGAAGCCAAGTAATAAGCACACACAAAATGATTTACAAGTGAATAATAAAAAGTCTTTGGAAACAAAGGAATGCAACCTGGAAAATATTTGCATCACAATTCACTCCCAAGCTTCTTTAGACAAACAGCAGGGAAGTCAGAATCCATCACATCAAAATGCAGCTGATTTCCAAACTTCAGGTAAGTGAATGCCCCACTTAATCATGACTCTCAACACACTCTGAAACCATTCTACATTCCCAATGACAAGCAGGAGAACTTAATAATGATGCTATTGCTGTAAAAATGGCACATTGGGTTCCAGATGTCTCTTCATATTTGAGTCAAAATAGGGTCACCAAGTTTAGCCTTGGCCCAGATATACCAGCAACTTCAAGTGGAACAAGAGGCACTTCCTTTCTTCCTGATCTCAATCAGTCTATAAGTAAGGAAGACTCTAATCACATACTACCTGACCTAAATCTTCCCTATAATCCCAATTCATCCAATTATTAAGCCTCCAATAGTGTAAGACAAGTTTAATCTACTTATCTGTGTTCATGGCCCTGGGGATTCAGAATATTCTGGGGGTTATCACAGCTGTAAGAAACATCAGCACTCCATACAAAAATCTGATCATCTATCTTCAATAAAGTTGTCAATGAAACTTGGTCAGTTTGATGGCTTCTAAATGCTTTCCAAGGATTTTGTTTCATATCTCCAGGTGTCCAGAAAAAAGAATAAAAAATTGTAATCATCATTTCAAACAAATTCTTGTGCTTTTTATGATACTTGCTGTCTGGTGATCCTGATATTTTCAGAACTCTATTCTAAGGCAAATATTTAGCCTGTTATGTCATGAATCCAATGTAGAAAAACTGTGGTTCTCAAGTTCACATTATCTCAGAATTGTGAATCTTGTTCACAACTTGTTTGCATTGGTTTTGCAAGTCTTTCTCAAGCTACCCTTCCCATCCTGAGCTACACACCAGGTCCCTATTAGACAGCACTGACAGACAGTTCTAAGAAGCCCTAAAACACAAACAATCAAAACAAAAAGCTTCCTTGCATCAACAAGATGCTGTTCAACAAATACCCATCTCATGATTGAGCATTTGTGAAAAGACATAGTAGAATAGTTAGTAGTGAGAAGCATCAGGTTGCTTAACCTGTTAATTTAATTGACTTCAGGGATGCTTGTGAACATAATTCAAATGAGTTGCAAATATGATACTTGATTGAGAGAAGTTGTGGACCCATTGAGCACAATATTTCCCAATTGGCTTTTGAACATAATGATCCCTGCAGTGTTAGTCTCTGGTGTTTTCTTTGAATGATATGGATCAAATTTTTATGACTCATTCTTCATCTATTTGGCTTTCTTCAGCCACCACTGCAGATCCCCTCTTCCTTAAAGTGTATATTAAAGTCAGTTCAGTATTTGAACAAGGGCCATTGCCCCTAATTTACTGCACTGGTGAGAGCTAGCCACAAAGAGTTCCATACTGGAGTGGACCACTACTGTTTTGAGGTGCATCACACCAAATGAATACATCACCTTGTTGCCTGATTTGAAGCTCTACATTTCAGACACAGCAAGGATCAGTCTGGTTGTGTTTTACATGATTTGTGGCACTTTGCCATGTCGGATACATCTTGAATATGGGATCTAAAATGTAGAACATCTGGCCCCCTTGATAAACCCCTGTGTTCAGCTTGAAACACACCTTGGAAACAAGAACCTCTTGATCAAATGATCAGCCACCCATATAGTCTTATCACATAATCCCTTTCAGCCATAAAAATCATTTATTTACTCTGAGATATTTGAAGATCTACTCACCCAACATTACCCAACTTTGAAATTGAATTAAAACAAAATCCTTAGATTGATTATGTATCAGATCCCAAATTACCTTCTAGTTTCATTTATTGGTGTGTTGCTCCAATTATTCACATTTTTGATATCAGTATCAAATGGGGTCATGGATATATCTATGGTGGAATCAACCCAGTAGCTGGAGAGGCCTACTCCTGGTCAGTTGAACTCACAGATTTGTCTCAATCCTGTGATTATGATACTGGGATATTTAACCAATGATCTCAAATGCATTGATATTTTAACAATAAAGAGTTTAGCATATCTGTAGACAAAGCTCTGTTGAAGCAAGATTGTTTAAATGCATGAAGAGATTTGAGAACAATTGAAGTAGTGGATAGACACTGTGAAGTACTTTTTATCTTTAGAAGGAGTGTGGCAGAATTTGTGGAACAGTTGTCAAAATAACCTGCTTGTCTGACTGATGTGAATCAGTCAAAATCTCATTGTATGAAGCAGAAGACTATATATGAACCAACTGAATCACTTTCCATTCTGTTGTATCACCTCAAGCAAGTGTGGAAAGCACATTCAGCTTAAATCTGTCAACCAGAGATAGATCATATGACTGAAGGGATAGACAAAAACTTTAAAATTTCTTTCAATATAAATAAGCAGAGCATCAAGGGTACAATACTCTATACCTTTCTGGAAGTAGCTAGTATGTCAAATCTGGGTCTATCTATTTGTGCAGAGATTCAGGGAGAAGGCTGTTGACTTGAGGACAGGCATGCACTCCTTAGAAAATGATATGGATCAGTTCCAGAGGCTAATTGACAAGGAATCCCAAGGTGAATGTTATGAAATCTACCAGGAATGAATGAAGTTAGTTGAAGTCTTTGATATTTGAGCTGCTACAGGTCTCAAGGATAAGAAGGACATCTTAAAAGTGACACAAAGCCAAATTGATTTACCGCACACAAGAAGAGTTCTTTCCCAAATTCTTCATAACCTCAAGATCTGCATGTTACCTCAACAACAAGAAACCATACAGTTATCCCAGGCCACTTAATCTTTGCATCTATGAACATCCTTTGGTGATTAAAGGCTGAAACCCTGCCCAAATTGAGGATCAAGTGCACAAACTATGGTCAAAATTTAAGGGATCTTGAAATTGCCTTGCAACCGAGCAAACCTGTGTCAAATTTTCTAAGGAGCAAGATTGAATTTCCAAAAGCAGTTAAAAAGATGAAAGAGTACACATTACTCTTTGCAGCCAAAGCTGACTCAAAATATGACAAAATTGTGGAGAAGAATTTCCAGATCTATCAACCTAGTGTCTCAACTGGAAGAAGAAATATCTGAAGCTCAATTGGTATTATGGCATATATTTCAATTGGAATTTAAGTATCTATGGCAAAGAAACTTGTGTTCCAAGAAGGCTAAAGTCCAAATAGAGATCAGTGTGAGTTCTACCTATTTCATAGAAGGATGGGACTAGTACATCAAGAGGTCTTTAAAATCTTCCCTATCACCCATTCTAGAAAGGGATTTAGTAAAGCACAGTGTATGATGTAATATTGGTCTTTAGTCTTGTGTAAATCACCCAACACCACCTACAGATGTGATTCAAAAGCAAAGTGGATGGAGCTTGACCTTGAATGATTTTACCTTGATCACCTTTTAGCCTCATGAAAGCTTAACATATTGCATCAAGAGATGAGAACAACTCATGACAAGGGACTATTACTATTAGGTGACTATCCAGCTTCAACTTTGAGTCAGAACCTGGCTCAAAGTGGCCATAAATGATTGATTCCCCTGAACACCTATACAATGTGAGACTAGGTTTTTTGGACTTCAATACAAAGTCAATTGACATACTGAACTCTTTTCTGGCTAGAAACAGAAGGAAAATCTCTTTAAGAAGATTGTGAATCAATATTTCAATTCTGCCAAAGCTTCAGGTAGACCTTCCCCAAAAAGAATGTCCCAAACACATAATAAGTCAGAGCCAATATATCTTACATCAATCTCAAAGAATCCAAGGACCAAGTGTATTCAGTATATCTCATCATCAGATCATGGGATTGACAATACAAATAAAGGTTTCAGAATGGAAGGATTCAAGGTGGATGGAAGGCCAAGAACAATCTATTCTCAACCTTTTTCAGAAGAACAAAAGGGACACCATGATCCAAACTACAAAACTGGAGGTGGATTTCAGGGTTCAGGGAAGCAGATTTCTCAATCCATTTCTTCCTCATACAATCCAACTTGGTAATCTGTTCCAAAGCCCAATCAGAACCACCATTTTGAGTTGATTCCAGTGTAACAAAGGGAAAAGATGAGGGTAGAACAAGAATCATAGAGAATATGAAACCATGTTATAGGTCTTATATGTCATGAGAGCACATGTCACAAGTTGTTCATTAGTTATAAACTTGTATTACGTCATGTTGTACGTGCTTCCTCATCCAACAATCATCATAGCAAACTGATTGCTTGGTAACTCTAGTCCTTCATTCCCTTGATAAGACCCCGCAAGACCAGTCCATACCAAACCACCCTCAACTTCAAGTAACAACAAGAAATAACCTATTCCTGACCTTGATGAAGCTGGCCAGCCAGACTTTGTGTGGTAGAACCTCCAAAAGTGTTAGGATCACCATTCATGATCTTATCCTTTTGCTCAAACCTCTTTGAGACTAGCCCACAACATATCTAATTCTTTCTCATCAATCCTTATACTGCTCTTATCTTTTATACAATTTCTTGGAATGTCAAATTTCTCCCTTGATTCTTTTTCATAAATATTTTACATTTTTTGATGTTATCATCTGTCAGCTACTTCTGTTGCATCTTTTGTGTACCCACAAAGCTTACTTTCTTTGAACAAGGAGCTCTGTTTGTCAGAGAAGGTGGTGTTGAAAGTTGGTCACCTTGATAGCTCACAAAAGTTTGACTCATTCAAAAGTTTTGAATATTGATTCAACAAACTTATTCTCTGTTTCATGATCTAATTTGTTATGGTGTGTTCCTTGCTTCGTTGCCTGATAAGCAAAATCCTAATTGGACTTTATCAAGCAAAATCAATTCATGGTACATTTTTCTGACATTTGTTACATTGACATGGACTGATCATGAGCTTCAACATCAAATTGGGTAAAATTTACAGCCTCAAATAGTTTCCCAGATTACAGAAACCCATCTCTCCATGCCAACAAGACTGAAAAGGGCTCAAATCTGTTGGTTCAAAGATTTTAGAACACCCAGGCTGTGCTTGGTATGTCTTACGTCGGTAGCACGAGAGAGCACGAGGTAATGGAATCCCGTTCAAGTACTTGGCGGGGTAACTCCTGGAAGAAATCTCTGGATTTGGATATATTTGAGACTCTGAGTAAAGAATCGCAAGCGATTGATCCCTCGCAGTGACAAGATAGGACAAGATTCTCCCAAATGTTCATGAACCCTTTGTTTTATCCTAGGGCTACGACTCAAGAGGCATGTATATACACTTTTGTTTCCACCAAAAACCCTTTGGTTTTGCTCAGTGGCTGATCACGAACGTGTGGATAAAGTTATAGCCTGATTGTATGTGTGGCTTGGGCGGATTCGGAATTCCTTCTTGAATCACGGCGACTACAAAATATGAGGCTGCTTTGCTAAACGGGACTTTCAATCAAAAATTGTCCTTGCTTAGAATTTGTGTTCCACCGAAAACTTTTGCTGTCTGTCCACGGTTACCTACAGCAAGATCTCGAGCTTTCAATAACTCTTCAACGCGTGAAATAGATTGATATCCTCAAATTGTGAACTATGTTTTGGAGTCGACCGATGCCTATCTTTCATCTTTTGCTAGTGATCCTACTCGCCGGAGACCTCGGCTCCCTTCCTTTCGTCAATGCTAATGCTCTAGAATGCAAGAACGGTTATACTCTATTACCAACCCCTCAAGTATATCCTTATGGTCTGTAATTTTCACAAGCCTTTCAAAGATCTTTCTTTTCGGAATTTAGTTTGAACTGACCTGAAAATCTTCAATACCTCGCCGAAAAACTTTTGGCTCAAAGCTTGTAGAGTCACATCCAAGTCCACATACAAGTGTAAGAAGTGTGGAAGGGGTGATGGGCTACCAACCAGTAAGCCAGATGTTTTTAGTTTTCTATCAATGGGCAAGATAGAGTGACCGATTAACCTTCATTTTCGTATCGCACAGCTGCTCGTGATTGCGTTGATAAGGTTGGCAGACCAGTGGGCGGGGGAGGACCATGGAATTGCGATGTCTCGGTTTACTACGATATACAAGGTCGCGAAGACAACAGAAATATACGTTAGTAATTTTGCATGATCCTTTTCGAAAAACTTTACATCAAGCCGAGATCTTTGAAATGTCTCGAGATACATTGAATCAAGAGAGTTCGGATGGAATTTCTTCAAATTCTCATCCGAATTGATACCAGAATACTGATTTCTCCAACTTTGCTCATTTGCTGAATCCTTTAAACAAAAGTTTGCCAGCACCGCATTAATGCGCATGGAGGGACGTCTCCGTACTTTTGCAGAACAGCCATTCACAACCAACGTAAGTATAACTTCTAGAACTCGTTCTGCGGTCAAGCGTATGATCTTGATTCATAACTAATTAGTCATTTCTTTGTATCAAACTTGATGATGTTCGTATCTAGAATGTGACCCGCAAGGTTGTTTACCTTCCAATTAAAGATGATTGTTACTTGTCCATGATCATGATGTTACTTGAACAACTTGTCACAAAAAATTGTCATCAATCTTGTTTAGATAAACCTTTTGGCCTTGAGGTTAAAGTAGTTTGACCCAGTATGACTCATTGATGTTGGAAATTGATAACGCTATGATCTTTCTGATGTCCAAAGCCGACATTCGAATTATGAAACGCTATCAAGGAGACTTGTCCCGGATCATCAAGGTGGTTACGTTCACTATGTAATTGATCAAGCTCTTGAGTCTATTAGGGGGTCTCAAGTCAGAAATTTTTTGTGAAACTTTTTAAAAAACGGACAAGTTTTTTAAATTTTACGGTGGTTTTTTTTTCTGCAAATATACGGTCAACACCATTCGGGACACCTTTTTAGGTGTCCCATTTTTTTAAATTTACGGTATATTTTGCAACATCGGACAACTTGTTGGACTGTAAAATACCGCAAATTTATTGACTTGAAACCCCCTATTGTCAAAGTAGTGTTCTGGCAATGGCTTTCCACCCTCTATGGAATGAAGTTTAACCAGCACCACCAAGACCTTTAGATCTTTTACTCATCCGCTCTATTTGTCAAACCTGAGCCCACCCAAGTATCCTTGATGGCACATACTGATTCCGTTGATTTTGAATGCTTGGAAAATCTATTATGCCGTGTCAAATGGAAATTCAAATCACATTACAAACTCGTTTTTATTTTCTTAAACCCACACTGGTCTGAGTGAAGTCTTCATGATCAGTTCATTCAACAAAGAAAACTTCACAATCCATCCAAAGGTAAGCCGTGTCACACTAGAGAGACACCCAAACAAGGCCCTCTCACCCCCAGGCCAACTTACATGACAATAGATGCGACGGCCACATCGGCCCCAGTTCGCAGTCTGGCAATGTGATTCCGACGTAGTCACTATTTGACCTTATGAGGGGCAGATAGGATACGCATTGTGCATGTTCCAGTTGCCACCGGTGTGCATCCTTTGTGGGATGGGCCGACATTTATCGGCATCCAAAAATGTGAACTACACAGTCTCTGATTTGCTCAACACACTGCCAATGTACCAGATTTATCACGCAATTTGAACAGCACAACTTTGCAAACGTCTCAAATCCTCACATCGATAATTGTAAAAAAACCTTGCCCATGAGATACACTAGACACCAAATCTATAAAAGTATATACATCACACTCTATAACCCTCAATAAACATTTCCAACACAACAAATCGAAAAAAAAAGACCAGTGAAATTCAAAACACTTTGCAAGAGAATATACATATACATAATACATATTATCATCATCATAAATTGATTTTTTCATAACTGCAGAATTAGATTAGGAGAAAATTAAACGATTCCGGTTCTTTTGAGGGTTCAGAAAGATACGGTTAACCACAGAGTTGTAGATCTGTACATTCCTTTGGTAAAGGCTCGTTGTGCCATGCCACATGACTAAAAGACGAAAGATACAAAAAAAAAGGAAAGATAGACAAATGATTAGTAATAGCATTGATTGAAAAAACAAAAGAATAAAAAAAGTAAGGGTCTACATACCAATTATAACAAATCGGTTCAATTTCTTCTTTAGTTTTGACCATCAATCCAATAAATTCACTTTCACCACCACTAAAGTCAGTAGGCCAATACTTTGGACCGATCAACAATTTTCCCAACAAATCTGAATGAAAACAAAACGCTCCATTATCGATTGGATATTTCCTATCTTGAACTGCACCGGCTTCCCAACCCAAAAGCGTATGATTTAAAGGATCATATTTTGGTCCTTCCCATCCATTCGGTCCTAAGTTTCCCATCGGCCAAACTCCAATCTTTTTGACTTTCCAGATCATTTCTAGTAAGGAGGGTAATAGGTTCGAATCATCGTCTATTGAAATCACAGGTCCGTGTCCAAAGATTCCGTTTAAAGAATTAGATGAAAGTCGATGGATAAGACCATAAGCTGCGTTTTGTTGAGCGTTACCGAAGTGATGGGTAGGTCCATAGACTAAGTAAACATAAGGTAATCCACTTCTAGTCAACACGTTTGCCACATCACTCGATAACTTATCATCATCTTCAATCACTATCCAAATCAATTGTCTTGAACTAGAAAGTGGACCCCATCGATCTTCAATAGGCCAGACTCGATTCTTTGTCAGTGCAAGATGAGTACGAAGTGTTTGGATATGTCGTTTGAAATATGCTTCACGTAGGTGTTTCGTCTTACCTGCCGCACTCGTTTTGGTAAACACATAGGTTGTGGGGATTGAAGGTAAGAGAGTAGAGAGGTTCCATTGGATTATCGAGCGAAGGGTTTGTTTTGGTTCAATTAGATCGGTTTGGCGTAGTAAGTCAAGAGCAGGTCCTTCGGCTAAATAAGCATGATGACAATATATATCTCGTATCGAAGACTTTTTGGAAGATTTCAAGCCGAAAAGGTTAGCAAATCGAAATATGTCAATCAGAGATCAAGACTTACCCAAACTTTATACGAGAGTGCCGGTTGACTGCCTGGGGTTGGTACAGCTGTGTTGATTGGTAAAAGAGGTGGGCTCGTAGCATTCACCTGACAATCACAGTAATCGCAAATCGTCAAAGGTGGAGCTAAAGTGATTGGTAGTTCATTTGTTTTGTAGAGTTCTATGGGTTGAGAAGATTGAGAAAAGGATTTGATAGATTGATTGATTTGATGATGAGAGGTTAAGAGGGCTAAAGAAAGTAACAGAAAAAGAAGTCAATGATTCCGTAGCGAATTGAAAGGTATTGAAAGGATTACTTACCATAGAGAATGTAGAGTGATAAACTGATAGGTAAGATAATCAATATCCAACGCGTCTTTGTCCATTTAGATTTGTTTCTATAAGGAATCGAATGATGAATAGGTTCATCAGGTGAAGAAGAAGAATGAAAAAAAGAAGTAGGTTTCGGTAAAGGAGTTGAAGGAGACCAGTTTGATGATTGATGGTTTGATAGTTTTTGATCAGATGAACTACTTGAACTTGAGTGATCTATAAATGAAACTAATAATGGTTCTCGATCGTTGGGTTGAGTTGGAGTTGTAGGAGTAGGATAGATTTGGTTGAGATGAATTGTATCATGGTTTGATGATGATGAGCTTCTTGTTGCTTGTTGTTCTGATTTGTTCATCTTCTTCTTTCTTCTTGAGAATTCTAATCAAAACTTGGATGTGCAGTGCTGCTACTGTAGGACAGAGTTATGCTCAAGAGTCTTGAAAAACAACACAAACCGTGTACCAAAGCAGTTTGATGAGAAATTAATTGTAATTAAGCTTGGTTTTAAATTTCTTACTTTTAAGTTCTCATCTCATCATTCATCTCAATTCACTCTCCCTTGACATCCCAAACTCCTTCTGCAGTCAAAAATCAATCCATACACCATTTGTAAAAAGATCCAATGCAGATAAATACATCTACAAAAAATGTGGACAAAAATGCTGAAGCAGAAATTGCACCAGTGCATGAAGATTTCGGATCACGGAAATCGAGCGAACCATCGGATTCTGAATACCACCCCTCGCTTGATAATAATTTCAAGAAACCCCATAGATTTGGTAAAAGATTTCTCAATATCCAAACCTTTCAAAGATCACACAGATAGAAGAGTGAACTGAAAGAAAGTGATACATATAACTATTCAGCTTTATCACGAATGTATCCATCAACTGGTATTCTTTTGAAAAAAGTTTTCATATCAAACTTCTCGAGGTTAATCTTTTTGTTGTAAAAGGAGGTTATACAAGCCAGGCTGGTTTTAGCCACTTGATCCGCTCGGTGGAAGATAAACCCAACCACTATAAGTATAGTACTTCTACATAATAAACATGTGGCTCAGACTCGACCAGGATGTGATGATAGGTGATGATGCATGGTAAGGATTCCAGGCTTCTATTTTATGGTTAGAGCTATCCAAGAAGTGATACAATACGGTATTGTATCAACTGAAATCCTTGTGGCTATTCTTCAGCAAAGAGTGGCTGACCACGAACGCTTGGATAAAGCTATAGCCTGATTGTTTCTCATGAACGAGGCTTGAGCCAGAACAGTAGCTGATTGAAATGTGTTGACTATATAAAGGCTGCTTTGTTGAAAGAGATATGGTTCGAGTGTAACGCCTGTTTTCTCTCACTTAACTCTTGACTGTTTCTCCGCTGTCTATAACTTCAGCAAGACTTCGAATTCTCAGTCACTCTTTAAAGATTGACATCTATTTCTTTGAAAGATGTTTTGGAATCAATCGATCATCCTCCAACTTTTGTTCATTGCACTACTCGCCGGAGACCTCGGATCTCACATCTTCGTAACTTCTAATGCTCTAGAGTGCACCCGAGGATATTTTCATCCCAGTAGCAAGGCCGCCACAGATACGATACTGGTATCGTACCGGCGATACCAGTACCGTATCTTGGCTCACGGCACCTATATTTTTTGTTTATGATATTGTACCGGGGCTCCGGTACGGTACCAAGAACCGTACCGAAGTCCACGATACTGTGTTTTCCACCAAAGGGTGCCGTATCTTACCATGCAGGGAAGATACGGTACTATACCGTATTGTAAAATATCACAACGATACGGTATAGTACCGTATCGAGAGACAAAAGTGCTGTGTCAAAAATTTCACACAACTATGACATGTATTTCATTGTATTTCAAGAAAAAAAGAAACCAACATAAAGAAACGATAAAGAAAAACCACCCCAAGTTTAACATCTTCACTTTCTCCTCTCTCGCGCACCCAGGTCCTTTGCAATACAATCAACCATCATCTCTTGCGCTGTTTCAAACTTGCCTTTCATCTGAACCCCTTGTACAGACCACAAACATCCTCCAATGGTGCGTTCGATGGTTTGTGGCTTCAGTGCCATCCTATCCTGAGAGCACACATCAGCTGAAGAAGAGAATGCTCTCTCCACTGGGCATGCAGTGGCACTGATCGCCAGGTAGTCGCGTGCAAGGGAGCTTAATACTGGGTATTTGCCCTCGTTCAGCTGCACAAACATTAGATTCAATTTAGCAAAATGCCCTTTTAAAAAAGGATCTATTTGAGTGTAGAGAAATGAACTAACCCGCCACCATTCCAAAGCCAAATGAGGGTTTTCGGCCACCTCAGGTGCCGGATCCTCAGCCATCTCTAAGTAAGATCGCAGTTCGTTTGCCGTGTTGCGGCGGTTCCGTTGCTTGTGCATGCGGAACTCCTCATCGTCTTCGTTCAAAATTTTGCTTTGACCCACAGGATTAGCTAACCCTGATTGATTATCAAGTCCATCCTTCTCCATGGCAGCCTTCCGTTGGGCGTATGCTGCTTCAGTAAGTATTTTTGCCATGTTTGATTCTTCAGAACTGGATCCGAAAGCAAAGTCGAAATAATCCAAACATAAACTGGGATGCAATACAGTCGCAAGGATGAGGATATTCGATCCCAGAGCCTCTTTGAGGTATGCCTTCACTCGCACCATCATGGCGTGGTGCATGGGGAACATGGGATCAGCTCGCGCTCTAGTGGCGTCAATCTTTTTCTGAAGTGTCTTTTGGAGCTTGACATATTCTCGAATCGCTAGTGAGGCTGTTGGTCCGTCTTGCTCAAAAAATTTTGTTAAGGTTTCAAAATCCTACATAGCAAAAACAATCATGTCATAGTATGAGTATCCCAAAGAGAACTTAACGTAAGAAGAAAAAAAAATGAAAGAGTCACTCACCTGAAGAAGTTCCATGATATCTCTAACTTGTCTCCATTCATCAGGTGAGATCATGACCTTGTTGAAAATACCTCGAGGGCGATTGACATCCGGTGGCAAGACAGTCTCACCAGCTCGAGTTTGTTGTCCTCGGCGAGGTTGGTCCATCTGGTCCTCCTTCAGGATTTGATCGATGACCTAGGAAAAGTTAATGGTGAGATGATTAGTTATGGCACAAGTGATTGAAACAATGTCTTTTACCTCGCGGGCGTTGTATAACCGAGTCCAACACTGTAGTTTGATGTTCCAGCGGATACCATAACCTGGTATCGGCCTTGGAATTTTCTGCTTCAAAAGCGCCATGCTAACCGCATTGAACAGCATACACATCACTGCTGAACCACTGATTTTACGCCCTACCATATCAAGCTATTGGAATATATCAGTAATTGTTAGTTTTTCAAAAAGAAATGTATATGCTTTACATACTTTGGTAGTGAGTAAGTGCACTGCGTTTGCAGCGGTCCTGTCGGTAGCAGACACATCCTCGATATCATGAGGTCCATCTATGACGTCATACCAATGAGGAGCGTCTTCGGGTACCACCAGATCCCCATTGTCAACCTCGCCATCAGAATCTGAATTGCCATCGGAATGAACGGCGCCATCACCGCTCTCGTCTTCTTCAATAACCGTCTGTAATGTGTTGGTTGGCACAGGGAAATCTCCCAGCATAGTCGATTTGACCAGAGGAGGAGGAGGCGCCTGGATTCCAAGCGCTTGGAGTCCGGCGTTCACAATTAGAGCAAGTTTATGACATACACTCCTAACTCTGTCGGTCTTAGCATCCCAAGTAAACTCTTCGTTTTGATCCACACAGTATTTGGTCAATCGGACTTGCATTGCTTCGGCTAGCGTGTTGTTGTTGCTGCCGGAGTCGTGGGTCTGAGCAAGCATGTGGATATATTATATATAAATCAGTGAAACACCCACGAGAAAAGTTTGATAGGACAAGAGAGAAAATTAATAGGATTATAAGAGAAAACACTTATCTTATTATGTAAGCCATGTTTTGTCAAAAGATTGATTAAAGGTTCGGCGAGCCATTCACCTTTATGGTGCCAGGCTATAAGTTTGAGGGCAAAGTGACGAGTGATGAAAGTCCAGTCGGGGGTAATGTATGTGACACAGGCACCAATAAAACCGTAACGG